GGAAGGAAGGAAGGAAGGAAGGAAGGAAGGAAGGAAGGAAGGAACTCAGTCAGTCAAGATCAAGACCCCTTTCTAATGCCAAACAATAATAAAATTTCTTTTGCAGGAAGGAAGAAGACTCAGGGGTAGTATTGAGAGGAAGAAAGTCTATAAGAGCAATAAAACACATCTGTAGCTTACTTAATGCAGAAACTTGGAAGCTTAAAGCTTGCTAAAGGGAAAGGCCCCTGGGATCAGCAAAACCAAATCAGCAATGAGAAAGAAACCAGGTTTTTCAAGATGCATTACATCTGTCTAGCTGGAGGACCATGCTTGGCATCATCCAATTCTTATTTTGCAGAGGTGAAGTTTTAGCTTCATTGCAGATACAGAAGAGGCAAAGATTAGAATATTTTCTTTTGGCTATACTACTAAGGAGCAGATGAACACCAACCCATAGAATCTTCTACAAAGGAAAAGCTAGTCAGGAGGCTGTTTCCTATTGAAATCTATTTTGGTGCCACTTATATTTTATTGCTTTTTAGACTGTAAACAAGAAGAAATTAATGAACACGAGTAGAATAGCTAACAGTATTCCCAACTATTTCTTTCACCTTTCCCTCCCTTAATCTGATCCTCCTTCTTTTCCCCTTCTCCTGACATAGCTATAGTAACGATGCCATGTATGGCTGGCACTACATGGCAAATGGTGAAATGTGATTTCTGGTATCCTTTTCAAGTAGCCTCCCACCCACCTCACTCTTCCTTTTAGATTCCTTGGTAGTCTATAGGCCAGCCTGAGAAATGAAACAAAACAAATCTGTCCAGAAAGAAGGCAAAGGCAAAGCACTTCCCTACTGTTGCCAAGAAAACTGGATGGGCACGACCAGGAAATCAGCAAGAGTCAAGCTTGATTAGAAGACTTGACCTTTGCTTCCCTTCATGAAGACAGATCGGCAGACTCTGAGCAGCTTGCAAAGCTCTGCCCTGCAAGCCTGGAGAACGTTTGGCCTGCTGGGTTGGCCATTTGGTTTGAGAGGCTCATCCAGGAGCCCTTTTCTCTTCCTCATCAGTGGTAACGGCCTGCTGCTTGCCAGCTGAAGAAGAGAGGCCTCACACTGGGCCGTTGCTCTCTGGTGCACTTACCCCCTTCCCACCTTCAAATACATACAGTTCAGGGGTGGGCATGTATGTGTGTAAGTGCTAAATCCATTCCTTCATGACCCAATCCTGTTTTATGTTGAACCATCTTTTTGTCAACATTTTATTTAAAAATAAAATATGTTTTAACTTCCTTTAAGAAAAAAAGTAAGACAAAGAAAAGGGGCCAGACAAATGTCTTGTTAGTATCATTATGAAATGAATCAAAAAGAAAACAGCCTAAATTGTGTCTTTATAGAAATCTATGATGTAATCATAAGTATGTACACTTCTGGTCAGAACTGGAAAATATACAAATAAGATACGATAGAAATATTAGTACTGAGAAAAAAGTGGGTAGAGAGAAGTCTTCCTCCCTCTTATACAGTGTATTATAAGATATGATGAGCAAAGCTACACATGATGTAAGTGCAGTCCAATTGCCCTCCTGCCAGAGAAGGTGAAAGGGCTAGAGGTCAACCCACCCACCCACCCTCCAATGTATCATTGGAGAATGTGGGGAATTCTAGGATTATACACTGGAAGAACCTGCAGAGAGACAACAGTTCCCAAAGGCCTCCTACAAGAGCCAGCAGGGTTTATGTTGTGTGATCCAAGGTTTCCAGTGTGTCTACCTACAGGCAGGAAGATTTTGTAATTAAAATAAATGCGGATTATAAAGAAGCAGATTTCAGTTGGACTTCGGAAAAAGTGTCTTCATGTTAAGGGCTGTTCAACAATCCAACAAACTGCCTTGGAAGGCAGTGGGCTTTCCTTCATTGGAGGTCTTTAAATAGGGCAGTGGGTTGGGCCAGATGTTCTCCAAGATCCCTCCCAGCCCTTCTATTCTATGCTTATATGTACCAATAGACAATCAACAAAAGGCCAAGCTGTTGATGTAATGATTCCTTCATTTCTTCATTCATGAACATCACTAATTCGTAAGTGTAAATTCCTGCTTTGGAAATATTACTACTAGCAATATTACTGCAAGGGATTTGGTGGGTATACAAAAGAAACCCATGACAGATTTCATTGGAGTAAAAGGGTGCCATCTGCAACTCTTGCAGCACAGATGAGCAACAGTGACTGAAATCCACTAAAGTTTGTCATTCCTCATGCAAAAATTTATATAAAAATGTACCTTTGGAAAAAATAGATTCATAACAGAACATATACTGTATCTTGTGTGCAAAAAGCATATATATGGGCGGCATATAAATTTAATAAATAAATAATAAATAAATATATATGATAGTTTTTTAAAAGCATATATTAGAAATAACTGCTTTTATAAGTCTATGCTAGAAGTAATCATATACAAAAACTTTGTATATTAGGAAAAGTTGTGCACCACGTACAGTTGTGAACAATACTTCCCATAGTTTACAATGCAAAAAATATTAATGGAACAGAATAATATTTGAAAGTCTGCATCACTGATATGGACCTGATTTAGACTGATCCGTATATTGCTGGTATATAGGAATTGCCCATGGATATTTCCATTAATGGTAATTAACCTAGAAAGTGTTACTGTACTGACACACATTATCTCCACAAGCTTTTACTCCACCACTTAGTCAACTATCTGTGCCCCACTTACCATCAGCTGGGCTGAGGCCTCTAGCAGCTGAGATCATAGACAGAGTAGGGCTGCTGTGCATGGATCGGAAGTAATGTTCCACGTGGGGGTTCATGTATGGATGAGGGTGGTTGAAAGGTGACTCTGCAGGTCCTGCAGGGTGTGGGGATAGACGGATGAGGGAGATATCAGAGATAACAGGGCTGCCGCTTAGAGTGGAAGGTCTGCAAAAGAGGCAGAAAAAAACTCAAGATCAATCTCTTTAACTGCTGGAACATGAATATACTACAAAATCAGAAGGTAAGGGAGACCAAATAAGGTAGTCCTTACTTAGCGATTGGCACCAGCAACTCCATCGCTAAGCCCTGCGGTCACTAAGCAGAAAGTCATGACACTGCAATGGGCTTACGACCTCACTTCCCCTTCGGTTGTTAAGTGAATCACCAAGGTCGTTAAGTGAAACATCACATGACCACGACTTATGATTTTGCTTCCACCTTCTCTATTAAATCTGCTTGTCACAAGCCAGTTGTGAAGCACACAAATGGCGATCACATAATCGCAGGACACTGTGATGGTCATAAATTCAAGGATTGGTCACAAAGCTATTTTTTTTCACTGTCGTAACTTCAAATGGTATGCGAGGACTATCTGTATGTAATTTCGCTAACAGCTCCTAAATTCACCTATTACTGGCTTTTTTTAGACATTGGAACAGCCACTGAGCAGAGATATCCCAATCATTTTACTGTCTGAGGCTTGATTACAAATGGGGTTTCCATATACCCAGGCACTCTGAATACCCCTCCCCCCCAAGTTATTGGCTTTTGAAATGTCAGGATATTTCAAGCTCTTCTTATTCCTGTCATCTTTATCATCACCATGGAACCATGTACCTAAAAACGTTTTCCAAAATGACATTTCAGAATTAAAATGGAAGGCACTTAGAACATAATACACCAGATGTTACTGTTATAGAAAAGAAGGTGTTGGTTACTGATGTGACAATATGTGGAGATAGCTGAATTAAAGAAAAACAACTGAAGAAGTTAATAAAACATCATGATTTACAAATTGTGGTTGGAAGATTATGGAGAAAACAATCAATAGTCATTCTGATTGTAACCAAATATCTTTGCCCGATATCCAAAGAATTAACCAAATATGTAGAATTTTTAAAGTTCCTTGACTCAATGCCACTAATTTTGCAAAAGATTATTCTACTTGGAACAGAATACATTTTATAGCAATACCCCTATGACTCTTAGGTCCCTGACTAGGATTTAAATTATTGGAGTCAATACCCAGTTGATTACACTGTGATATCCATTTGGACAAATAAAATAATAAATTAGGTAACTAACAATTTCTACTTTTTCATGATACCCGCTGTGACAAGGAGGATGCTGAAGTTAATGGATATTTAGTCTGATCTAGCAGGCCTAATAGGGATCCAGCAGTTCTCTAGATATTGCTGAAAATCAACTCTTGGCACCCCTCACCATTGGTCTTGCTGGCTGGAACAGCTGGGAGTTGTAGTTTAGCAACATCTGCAGGACTACAATTTTTTTACCCTTCCACTAAGGGCAATGGGAAAAATGAAGCTGTAATTAAAAGATAATTGTTTAGGGAAACAAGTATGCAATTTAAAATAATTTGCAAGGTCATCTGCAGAACATTTTGTTATTAAGATTACATAGGAAATATAGTACTCCAAAATGCCCAGTTTCATAGCATGAGGCCTATAGACAGAACAGCATTTCATCTGTGACATCTCCTGCACCAGTAATCTGCGTGCAAAGGTCCAGCTTCCTGTTTCAGGAAAGGCTGCAGGTAATAAAGGAACTGTGCAAAATCTAGTAGTTTAATTCATGCTGGTGGGAAAGAGCTGGCAGAGGAGAGAGAGAGAGAGGAATGAGAAAGCAAATAAAAGCCTGCATTTCAGATTCAGCTAGAGATCATTACAAATAATTTTAGTCCCATCTGGAAAAAATGAAACAGGATTTAAAAAAATAGTGATGTCATTAACAAAACATCTGACAATTTACTGCTGATGAAGGCTAAATTGAAGTGTGTGACTGCAGTGGGGAGGTGGGAGTGGGGGTGGGTGAGATGTAAACTGAAAGCAGTCCCAGACTTCCCTGAGCCATGAAACCTGCCTTCACACATAAGCCTTGAAAGAAATTCTCTTACATACCCAATAAATTCCCTCAGCTTCTCCCAACAGGGTTGTGAATACCTTTGATGGCTGCTTGAAACGATGTATTATGTAGTTTATGAGCTTTTTGAGTCAAACTAGGAAATCAACATCTAAACTAGCAGATCAACATCTAAAGCCCATTAGCAAGGTCTAAGATTTGCTCATCAATTTTGCCCATGGCTTATCCTGGAGAACATGAGTCCTTTCTGTCCCACAGAAAAGATGTTTGCATTGGTCAAAAATGAGGATAGAAGGTGAGAGGATCAAGGTTTCACCAGGAATGCCAGCTCTACCAGGAAGTGGGTTGAGACCACCACTGTTGTACTTCATAGTCATTAAAACAAAAGCCATACCTGAAAATAGAGCTATGCTAGAGAATACAAAACCATTTTTAAAATTATGGCAATTTCATTACAAAAGAAGATTATTATAAGCATCTTGTTCTCAGAATAGACCATTTTATCTGATAATGAACATTACTGAAACAATCCCTAAAATGAACAATGTTCATGAATAATGTCAAGCTGTACCATGTAAGTAGTCTAAAGAGTTAATTTATTGATAATAAAGCTAGAATGGCTTATGTATGGAAGGATTGCTTTATAACTCTGTTATTCATAAGATGCATGTATTTTTCTTCTAGTTATACTGTTAAGTGTATGTAGATTGACTGTTCTAGTATCAAGATTCCTTTTCCTTAGGAATTGTTTGCATATTTTTAAATCATTGTATTGCTAAACATTTCATTTTTAAATAAAATTTACAAAACTACTTAATGAAAGATGGTAACATTTTTAAGTTCAAACTTTTTTATTATTTATCCCTTATTTTTTCACCATCAGAGTTGAAGCCAGTGTCCTAATTGGATGCATGTTTCAATACTTTCTCTTTCATCCTTACAGACTATATTTCTCTATTATTAATTCTCTCTCACTGCCTAACACTCACATACAATTATGCTTTTCCTTGGATCATTTACTTACAGCTCTTCTGGGTCTGGGGCTGCAACATTAAAGTTATTTGCCGTCTGACCCCCTCCAGCCATGAGTCATCTACCTAGACCTCCTGGTGTTTTCTGACAGAATGAAAACAGTAAAGAACAAACTATTTATTAACTGGGAAAAATATATGAACATCTTTTGGATGTAGCTAGACCTAGCCCTTAGCAAGGTCCTCTCAATGCCTACCTTTTATCTGAGTCAATCTAGAATAAGATTCAAAATAGATTTAAAGAACAGAGCTTCCTTTAGATAAATTGTATGACTCTGTGGTAAGCTGACTCCATAATACATGGTAGAGAGTTTAAAAAATCCTTTTAAAAAATTCAACCTGGTCTGTTGTTTCTAAGGAATACTGGGAATTGCACCAGGGGCAGGATCTTTAACTAATAATTAGAAGAAAGGAATGGTTTTATTGAATACATTGAAAAGATCTTTTTGGAATCTGATTCTTTACCAATAGTCTATGCTATTCTTGCATAGAATGTTTATATGAGAACTGATTCTAGATTCGTCAATCAACTTGGTTTGAATTCTGAGAAGCACCAGCGGAGTTGTGTCATGGAAGAAGAGTTTTGAGCTGGCAGCATTCTGGTCCCCAAATAGGCTCCAAATCCAGGGAGAAGTGGTATGTTTGTGTGTGATGAGGGGAGGAGGTGGCTTTGAGATGGAGATTTTTGGGGATTGAGGCTGCAATGCTGTGGAATGATACAGGTAGTCCTTGCTTAACGACTGTTTAACGATGGTTCAAAGTTATGACAGCCTCAGAAAAAGTGCTTTACGACCTGTACTTGCACTTATGACCATCACAAACCATTGCACCGCCCTGTGGTCACATGATCGCGATTTGCAACCTTTTTTATGATGGTCATAAAATGAGTTACTGCAATCATATGGTTGTTAAGTGAATTCTAGAAAAAAAGTTCATTGGGGAAGCTGGATTTGCTTAACTACCATGTAATTCAATTAATGACCATGTGATTCACTTTATGGCCATCATAAAAATGGTTGTAAAATTGAGTACATTCATGTGGTGACTCACTTAACCGCCCCACTTAATGACCAATTTTCCAATCCCTATTGTGGTTGTTAAGTGAGGACTATCTGTAGTTAACCTATCCTTTTGTCTTCTTTATTAAAGTCAGACTACAGTTTCTGTCTGTTCTTTGGGAAGAAATGTACAGGTATCATTTGGGACAAACTATGGTTTTGGGCAAACAGTTTATTTTAGAAAAACATCAGACGAAGTAGAATTATCCTCCTTTTCACCATCACAGACTCAATGTTGTGTCCTACAGGATGGCCTATTATTGACAACTTATAGTGCAGGGAATATACATACATACAAAAAAATAGGTAGTATCCAACAGTAGTAGTAATGCACCTGCTTGCTCAATGCGAGATACCCCATTTTCCCTTCCACTAACCTTAATTCTTTATGCCATATCCCACAAGTTTCTGAAGAATTCCAACAGCCAACTTGGAGTGAACAGAACTGGATTCTTCTAATACAAGGCCACCACTGACTACAGTCCATTATTAATGCACTTTGTATTGTATTGGATATATGGTCATCCCTACTTGCAAATACAGACTAGACAATAAAAACATTAAAAGGAATTCATTTATTTATTTGATTTATATCCCACCTTTATTTTGTGCAACTCAAAGCGGTATACATAACACTCCCTCCTCCTTTTCTCCACAACAACTACTCTATGAGGTGGGTTGGGCTGAGAGAAATAGACTGGCCCTAAGTCACCCAGCTGACTTGTTTTATAGCTGTTTTAGCCTGTGTGTGGAGCATCTATGCTTTTTTTTGGTGAGGAGCCTGGGAACAAAAGAGAGGATGAGATCACAGGCTAAAGGATGCGTCTCACTTGGAGCCTAATTTGCAGCCATGAGAAGAAGGTCTCAGATTATTTCGCCAGCTGTCATAAGTCTTCCCTGCTGGTGCCATGTTCTCACCTACCTGTCAATGTTGAAAGCCACCCTGCTGAGTTGGGCCTAGAGTACATTCCTCCAC